ACATAAATCTGGCACCACTAGGTAACATAAATCTGGCACCACTAGGTAACATAAATCTGGCACCACTAGGTAACAAATCTGGCACCACTAGGGGACATAAATCTGGCACCACTAGGGGACATAAATCTGGCACCACTAGGTGACATAAATCTGGCACCACTAGGTGACATAAATCTGGCACCACTAGGTGACATAAATCTGGCACCACTAGGTGACATAAATCTGGCACCACTAGGTGACATAAATCTGGCACTACTAGGTGACATAAATCTGGCACCACTAGGTGACATAAATCTGGCACCACTAGGTGGAGGTGGCATAAATCTGGCACCACTAGGTGACATAAATTTGGCACAACTGGGTGACAAATCTGGCACCACTAGGTGACATAAATATGTCATTGCTAGGTGACATAAATCTGGCACCACTGGGTGACAAATCTGGCACCACTCGGTGACATAAATATGTCATTGCTAGGTGACATAAATATGTCATTGCTAGGTGACATAAATCTGGCACCACTTGGTGACATAAATCTGGCACCACTAGGTGACATTTTTTCCCTTTTTGAATTGTTGTCATAAACACTATTAGCCAGAACTCTCAACTAGGGGACAGGTTTGTAATCAGGAAGCAGTTAGTAATAGGATTTTAACAGTACAGGAAAAATTTGTAACTCTACACTTTACTCTCTGTGTACGAATTAACTAGGACAAGTAAATATCACTGAATGATATATAGACCATTAAACTATGCCAAGGCTTCATGAATGCAAACATACTCCACTCACAACAAGGCAGCAATTACAGCAGTTTCACTATAGTATGTACAACTTCTATAAGATGATTGATGACAATCATTAGTGTAAAATTGAAATATATATAATGTGTGGAGAAGGCTGATTACACTGGCTCCAGTCAAGGTTTTTTTCATATAGTGCAAATAAGTAAAGTTGACATCTCTTGTATTGAAGAACACCACTCTGATTGGATGAATTACAGTCACATGACATGAGTCAGAATAATTATGCAAATCACACGAACATTTCATTCTAAGAATGTCAGCAGAATGAATCATGCAAATTTTAACACTTAAACAAGCAATATTATGTGTCATTTAGCTGACAAGTTTATACAGTAAAACCTGTCAAATCGACCATGCCTGGGACTGGAATCTATGGTCGGTTTTCAGAGGGAGACTGTTTACTCAGGGTAGGCGTGACTTTGATTGAAACAACAATTACATGTTTGCTACAGTTTGCCCCCAGTGATTATATTTACATTTATTTATTGTTTCAATAAAATACCAAACAAGACATGAATATTATGGTATGTACATGAAATCAATAAACATTAAAATAACTGTTTGAACAGACCGGTAAGTATCATGTATAGTAACTGAAAGCATCCATTTTGAATGACATCACAACATAAGTTCACATGAGCTACAAATGTACATGTAATTATCATAATTTATGCAGACAGTCGATTTTGCTGTTGAGTCAATGAATCAAATTACGATGTAAAAAAATCATCAAGTTTTGTCTGCTTTAAAGAACATCTTTTTTCAACAATTTTGTTTTCCGTCAGAAATTTGAGATCTTGGATATCTGTCAAGTAACTGGAGTCTTTGTTTATTGCAAAGTTCTGTAATCTCGTCAACATGTCTAGCACATCGCCATTCGTCAAGTCACGTCAACTCAATGTCTTTTGCTTGTTGAAGAAGTGATAATGCAGTGTGCTTTATTGCAACTGAAAGTGATGACTCCCATCATTTGTTTATATTCGGGGTCATACTGTCCAGACACGACGCGATGCGTGGGGTCTGAAAAACTTAATCAGTTGCCATTGTTTTACTCGTTACTAGTTACTAGTAGTGTGAGATTTGGTATTGTTTCTGTGACGTTCATGGTAAATTGAACACAATGTACACTTTTTAGGTCCGGCAGACCGGATTGCTAGACAGCAAATGGTCGATGTATTCAGTGTGAATATTGGACTTGGAACTGATCAATGCGACCAGTGTTTGGAGTAGACAGTGGTTGGATTTCACAGGTTGTTTTAACATAGGCGTCTAACGAGAAATTTTGGGGCTACATAAATCGGTTGGTTCTGACAGTAGGTCAGTTTATCAAGGGGTCGATTTTGACAGGTTTTACTGTAGTTGAAATGCAATATTTTGAAAATTACAATAAAGATGAAAACTTTATGTATTAACTCTGAATTTGAGATGACAAAAATCATTAATAAATGTAAACTCCGGGGTATATGTTGATTTACCGCAATTCAGATAGAGAATCTTTAATCAGACTGAGGGTCATGTTTAATTAAATGTCAAAATGGCATTTTCCTTTCTGGTGACTTGAGGTCACAGGCCAAACATTACAAATTATGAAACAGCTAGATTGGCAAACTATGCAAGTTCTAAACAGATGTAATGTAATTTTGGCATATTTACTCATTCAACACTAAAACGAACTACAGTGAGTTGTTCTATGGTCATATAACAATAAAAATAAAGATAAAATAAAATAGAATAGAATAGAATAAGATAATATAAAACAAGCCATACATGGCACAGTCCCTGTTAGTTATCAAATTTAAGATATATAGTTTTATTTATAGTAATATAGCTGGAATATAACCATGTCAGGAATATGATTTTTTAACATTAAAATGGTAGACATTTGTATCTGATCGTCAAACAAGTACTTGTCCATATTGAGAGATATTGCTCTGGAACAGCATTCATGTATATATATAACATGATGTATAACAAATATATAAAATTTGAATATATAATCAGTCAAAGCATTTAAGAGATATGGCTTTAGAAGCCCAATCATTAAAACAAAATGGCCGTCAGTCAACCATTTTGAATCCAATCTGAAAAATAAAATGACATGCATCAGGAACCCGTAATGTCTAATGTATGTACCAAGTTTGGACGAAATCCATCCGTAAATGCCAGAAAAGCTTGATATTTGATGATTTTTTAGCACAAAAATGACCACCATTTGGCCATTTTGAATAGGATCGTCAAACCAATATATCTGTCTATCTATGACATGATGTATAATGAATATTTAAAATTTGAACATAATCAGTGGAAGCAATCAAGGTCCCATAATGTCTAATATATATACAAAGTTTGAAAAAAATCCATCTGTAAACAGCCGAGAAATGCTTGATTTTTAGGATTTTTTAGCACAAAAATGGCCGCCATTCGGCCATCTTGAATCAGATCGTAAAACAAAATGATGTGCATTAAGGTCCTATAATGTCCAACGTATATACAAGGTTTGAACAAAATCCATCTGTAAACAGCTGAAAAATGTTTGATTTTGATGATTTTTAGCACAAAAATAGCCGCCATTCGGCCATCTTGAATCAGATCGTGAAACAAATTGATGTGCATATGTATAATATCATGTATGATGTATGTGTGAAGTTTGATTGTGATTGGTCTAGACATTTCTAAGATACAGGTCCGGACGCACGAACGCACGCACACACGGAGGTCAAAACATAAGTCCCCGTTTTCGAACTGCGTCCGAACGGGGACTAAATAAATTACACTACATTATGGCACACTCTTTGGAAAAGGCGAGCCTCTTTTAATCCGACGTACCCACACAAATTCGGCGCACCCACGCAAATTCAAGGCTAGTTTCTCACTGCGCCTCCCTGCTTGCCGGGCTAGCCCACGGTGCACCCTCGCCTCGTCGCTCGTAATTTTTTAGGTGCATCGCACTGTACACAGAATGCTAAATAAAGCTAAATAATATTACAAACACATAAAGGATCATAGTGGAAAGAATATTTTTAATATATGCATCTCTGCTGTAACTGTAAGGGTGGTGTGTAGTTGTGCTGCTTCATATTCAATATGGGCTGGATCACAGTCTTGAGTGCCGGTTAGGAAACGATTAGATTTCCAGGTGCGTGTTTGGGTGTTTAAATGTTTTTTTAAATCCAAATGTAACACCACTTTGGAAGCATCCGAGTTGCATCTGAATGAGATTAGCATATCATACAGTACAGTTCTCGCGGAAGCTTTGGCTTTTGTGGCATCATTGTTGCCTACGCATGGCTTCATTGTCGCCTCAGCATCGCATCATTGTGGCATCAGCTTCGCGTCATTGACAATTGAAGCTGTGTTCGCCTCGCTTATTCTGTGGCATCATCGTGGCCTCAGCTTCGCAGTCTCATGGCATCAACATGGCATCAGCTTCAAAGCATTGTGACATGAGTATGACCTCATTATTTTCACACGGAAAGGCAGTAGAGAAAAACACATGTACAGAAGTATGATATGTAATCGATTTGAAATTCAAGGCGGTAAGGGGAATAAAATATGACCAAGAGTAAAATGACATTTTAAAAATATATCTTGTTTATTTATTTAATGTTGTGAGTATTGGGTACCAAAAACTTTGTGAAGTACATTGCAATTTGCAAGGTGACGAGTGTCATATTGACTGCAAGGAAAATCGTGATCAATTTAAATCACACGATGCAATCGTCGTTCAGATACAACGCAATTTGCTACACGAAATGAAACTGTTCTTGTTATAAAATTACCTTATTTTCGTTCATTTTATTTGCTGGTAAGAGAATAGATTCAGATTCCTCATTTCGTGGTATTTTTCTGTGTTTCGTTTAGTTTTAGCAGAGTCCGATCCCATGCCCGGACTACTACTACATACAAAATACACGTACA